AAGTTGTGCGTCCACGGAGTCCTTCATCCTGTTTAAAAATACCCTGTTGGAGACTTTTCCTGGTATTGAAAGAAGAGTGATTCCCCTGTAGTTACCACAGTTGCTGAGATCGCCTTTCTTTGGTATTTTGACCAGAAGTCCTTCTTTCCAGTCTTTTGGTACCTGCTCCTCATCCCAAATATTCCTGAAGAGAATGTGGAGTATCTTTGCAGTTACCGCTACGTCTGCTTTCAGTGCCTCTGCTGGAATGCCATCTGGTCTTGCTGCTTTGTCACACTTGATTTTTCTGATGGCCATGCTGATTTCTTCAATTGTTGATGGGCAAACATCGATTGGGAGGTCCGTGAGTGCTGCTTCGATGTTGGGTGGGTTCAGTGAAACTGGTCGATTCAAGAGTTCTTTGAAGTGTTCTACCCACCTGTTTCGTTGTTCTTCAATGTTGGTGATTATCTTGCCTTCCTTGCTTTTCACTGGTCTTTCTGGTTTACGGTGATTTCCAGAGAGTTTCTTTGTTGTCATACAGTTGTTTCATGTTTCCTTCTTTTGCAGCCTTTTCCGCCGTCAATGCTAAATCTTCCACATATTTACGTTTGTCAGTTCTGATGCTCCTCTTCACTTTCTTGTTTACTTCTGTGTATTCAGCTTGTGCCTTGGCTTTTTCTGCTTTTGTTCAACTGGTATTGATTGCTATCTTCTTGTTCCTCCTTTCTTGAATTTTATCCAATCCTTGTGATGGTGCTTCTTTTGGCCCAGAACCTCATGACATGTTGAAGTGATTGGCTCTTTTATCTCTTTCCAGTTGCTCTCCATAGTAGTTCCTTTTCCATTGAGTAGATCATGAAAGGCCTGGAACTTATTGCTGAGGGCTATATTGAATTTGTTGAGTTTGTCAATATCCCGAAGAAGAGCCGTAATAAGTTTTTGTGATATTGTCTGCCCAGTTGTCCAGTGCTTCTTGAGTTTCAATTTCATCTTGGTGACCAGCAAGTGATGATCTGATGCTATACCAGCTCCTCTCTTGGTTCTCACGTCCTCTATCGTCCTCCTGAACTTTTTGTTGATGCAGATATGGTCGATTTGGTTTTCTGTAGTGTGATCCGGTGAAGTCCATGTGGTTTTGTGAATGAGTTTATGTGAGAAGACACATAGGTTTGCAAATCTCTCACCATTTTCGTTCTTTTCTCCCAGTCTGTGTCGTCGCATGATCTCTTCATATCCGGTGTTGTCCATTCCAACCATGGCATTTAGGTCTCCCATCAGAATGGTCAGGTCCTTTGCTGGGCACTTCTCGACGATTGACTGCAGCCTATCGTAGAATTGATCTTTAGCATTTTCATTGTAGTCATTGGTAGGCGCGTAGCATTGGATGACGTTCATTGTAATCCCCGTTTTCTTTGTTCTGAAGGAGGCTTTGATGATCCTTGGTCCATGAGATTCCCATCCTATAAGTGCATTTTGTGCTTGTTTGGACAGCATTTTCTTGTTCATGTCCGGAGTATAGCAGCAGCTCCCCTGAAGCTAGTCGTTGTTGTCCAACTTGCGTCCAATGTGTTTCACTGATCGCAAGCACCCCTAGGTTGTATCTCCTCATTTCTGCAGCAATTTGGAAAACTCTCCCAGTCTCCCACATTGTGCGAGCATTCCATGTACCTAAATAAATGGTTGCTCTGGTTGTCAGAAGGGTCATCGGCCTCGTGACTTCCGAAGAAACTCGGCTTTTATCATGAGGCGTCATAATTCTTCTAAACGAAGATCTCCTGATACCCAGGGAAGAGTTTAAATGGTTATAATAATTTTTTCTGGTTAGCGTTTTTTTAGCGAGTTAGTTTTCTACGGGATGGGGTCGCAAACCCCATGCCCAACCCTCCTCCTTTATCCGGGCTTGGGACCGGCAGTAGTCCCCGAAAGGGACTCCAGTCGGAGTTTCATTATTTACTATTCGTCATTTATTATAAATTAATAAATATATCATTTATTACATAAGATGAGTTAAGGTAGTGGTCAGTTGTAATAAACAGTATCATTATTTCATAGTCTAAAGTTTATGTAAATTTAGATCAATTCTTCTTCTTATTGTTATTATTATTACTTAAACACATAACCATTGGTACAAAGAGGCACCAAATAGTTATGCGCCACACTCCGTCATCTGGTTTGTGTGAAAACTGAGATACTGTCCGGGTGCCCAAAGCACAGCTGGTGATCTTCTTAAAGGATCACACCTCGAGTCTCCGACCTGAAGGTCTAATCCACAAGACAGTGGAGCAATGTTAGGAGATTCAGTCTCATGGTAACCGGTGACTGACAGTAGGTTGATATTGTATTTGTTCCGTCGGGATCCTGGAGCCAATGTGCACCATTGTTTTGTAATCAGGGTTTTCCAACCAACAACTGTAGATGGATTCTCCATATCCACCAACACGGCCAAATCTTCGGACATTCAGTATCTGTCCTCTCAACTTCGTAAATAACATCCCCGCTGCGAGAAGTCAGTGAGTAGGACTTTCCTGATAGTGGTTGTATCCACGTGACTATGTGAGAGCATTTGAAATGGTGAAATTAACTGTACTCGTTTTCGGCCGTACCAAGGCATTTGGAGGCAGTGCTGTATATTACTGTTTTTATAACTAACGGAATCATATGTTGTGTATAGTGACGATTAGATAGATTGAAACTGTTTGGTTAGAGTTAATTGATTCGATATTCATATGTATGCTCGTGCAAATCTATTATCAGGACATATATTATGTTGATAGATGGATAAACCATACAATATTAAGTGATTTATAATTGAGATAGTTAAATTTTGAGATAAACAATGAAAAAAATTTCGAAGATGAAATTTTACATACGTAAATTAAGTGAAAACTATTTTTTAATTGGAGATAATCGATAGCAAACTTTAAACTTGGGTTCAATGTTTCTTATAAATAAAGAGTATGTGTAATTCAGAGAATAATGATACATAGTAACAATTTTGTACTCATAATAATTGTATCAGCTAGAGACGTTTCTATACAACCACATGAAATATACACAAGTAATATAGAGAGCTTTAAATAAAAATAATAACATGAGTCGTGAACCTATATTTAGCAATATACATGGATGCTTTATAAAGTTGAAAAAAAGATCACAGGCAAATCTGTAAAAGTTTAATGTACATTTTTACATTGAAGATCAGATATTTACCAGCTGCAGTATTATAATTTTTATCTGCATAACGATTGACTTTCAATAATAGTTTCAAAGCATCTTGTTGAGAAACATAAGCTTTTAAATGCTAGTCATCGATAAATATTTTATTCTATTAACTTGTAAGTCTGCAATCAAGCAAAAACATGACACCTACTAGACAATCCGTATGGGTTTTGTTCATGATATTTTGAAAAGATTTAAAAATAATTTTCAACATATCGCTTTCAGTTATGATGCGCTTCATAGTAGGCCTGATATAACCAATATCAAATGTATGATAACTAGTTAAAAAACACAGTGGTATTATCCGTGAGTTGGGAGCAATATTATTAGAACATTCATTCATTAAAAGCAAAGATGAATGGTGGCTAGCAGTGGAATCCAGCGCGTGCGTTTCGTTATATTTTGGACTCGTCAGCTTGATGTGTTTGCATCCCAGAATTGATGTTCAATCGGGGACTCCGACCCAGTAATAATGTTTGTGAATTATGGCAATGTCGTGGTACTCAGCACAGGATTCACTTATGGTAATGAGAAACTGATCAATCTCAGTCCTTAACATCCATGAGAAAATTCAAACAAATAATACAAAATTCATTTATTAAGTTTAAAAGTGAATCAACTTCTTGGTGACTGGACAATTCAAATAGACTAATATAAACATAGGAAACAGTAAATGAGAATTTGGTCATGTAGATCTACAAAACTGATATGGAGTAAGAGAGTAAACGGCTCTACATTTTTAGTAATTTATTTAGAATTTCGGCTCAAGTGAACAACTATGAGTAACTAATTCTTACAACGAAAGGGAGGATTACTTAAATCTACAGAAGGGAAAAAATAGTTAAAATTTTATGACAACTAGCAATCTTCATGATGGTGAATGATCTTACTTTTTTGTATTTATTTAGATCATACACTGATCGTAAATGAATTGGAAGATGTTATTTGCGAAACTGTGTTTCCGATTATTGTTTAAGTTTTCTTGGGTTAAAATTATATTTATACTAATTTTATGAAAGTATTTTCGAAGAAGACTTGCATATTTGTGTATTATCGTGAATTTAATAGTTAACAATTTTTTCTGTGCATTGAAATTCAGATATATTTAGTTGGACTTTTTAAAGTCACGTTACACTGTAGTATTGTTCTGACAACATGTGACTATAATCGGTAACAAATACATGTTTAATAATATTATCATCTCTTCTCTAGCTTTGTCAGTGACTGTGCAACTACTTATTGCTACACTTGTGAAATACTGGAATTTGATTTAGCCCTTATACTTAACTGGATAGGTTTGGTTGTATAAATAATGATCTGTGAGAAGAACCTTTTAATTTAATGCAAGGATAATTCAAGGGATATACTCTTTACCGTGTCAGTTATCCTACATAATCAAAGCCTAAATCTTCAAAGAATTTATGAATTAGGAATATGTATATTAATACTAACTTTTTAACTTACTAATAATTTAACGATTAAGACATTTAATAGTTGAATTCATGAGCTAGACCATCATCGAAAACCTGGAAGCACTAGACGACTGTTTCGTCCTAGCATGAGACTCCTCAGCAGTGCAAATCCACGGTCAAGCTTCGCGAGATTCGAACCGAGGACCTACCAGTCTCGCGCGTGAGCGCTTAACCTCTAGACTACTGAACCGTCATCCAATGGTGTTAATGTCTAACTTTAACTAATCCATGGAGTTGCGCCACCGTCAATCATTGTCATCAGTAAGTTACTATCTCACATTTCTTCATATCTATACTTCAAGTGAAATGAATAAAAACAAAATAACTGCTTAATATTATCATTTTATTTCAATTTATATATTTCTTTAAAAATTTCGCTGATACATTGTGTATATATTCTTGACAAATTCATTGTGTATTTTCTTAATCATCATAATTTTCAACTTCATTTATCCGTATCTAAAATGAAAAAAACGAAAGAAATGAAAATGTATATAATGTATATATATATTAGTCCTTCAAACATACTACTGTAAATAGTCAAACGAAGTTGACAGAAAATTGTGTTCAGATTTCGATAAACTTGACCTTGTGAACACTTTGTTAGTTATTATTATGCCGTAAAGTTTTTGTTAAAGTTTTATTCTGGTTTTAGAATATTTTTGTGTGTAGTATACTATCGTTTGAATCAATCAGAGTTATGAAAGGGTAAATTTTTAAAATATTACAAAGCATACTATTTAAAATCGTTATTTATAAGTACAAGTTTCTCATGTGGTTCAATTATTGAATGCTTGAGAACACATATATGGTGTGGGGGATGCAATAAGTGATCGCTGTTCAAACGCATTTCAGGACACTATCCGGCTTGGCTTTTAAAAGAAGAGTGTAAAACAATTACTAGTTCGATACAGGAGCATTTAATTAATTGTGGCACATCGCTCCAAAAGATTCTTCTTTTAAAGTAATCTACAGAGTAAAAGGAACTGATTCGAAAGGGATCGAATCAATATTTTATACACTGCTGAGGCATTGGCAATCCACGAACTCAAACCTGAACATTGCGTCCAGAAACGATTTGTCTAACCTCTCATCCTTCCTTGGTCCTAATTTCCTTAATGGGTATGTTTCTGGGTCGCTTTTTTTGCATGTTTTTCTGAACTTTTATTTGATTTATTATTTTGCAATTTTATACTCTAATCAGTTATTATCATTATTACCTTATATAAGTTTTCTTGATTATTATTCAGTTTAGATTATTCTGACCATTATGTTTGTCGTTTTTTCTTCATATCTGTCAATTGGACTATTAGGTGACCCATAAACTATTTTCTTCCTTACCCCTTGATTAGTACGTAACGTCATTTGTTATTTAGTCTCGAGTCCATTTTGGTGATGCAAAAAGTTTTTCTATCCTCCTATAGACATATATTTTCCATATAACTATAATACGAATGTACAGCTTAAGTAAATGATTTCATCGAAAAGAAGAAAATTTTCTTCGCTGAATCCTTTTTTTCTTATTCAATGACACTATGGGTTATTTTAATTATCTGGATTATTATTATTATTATTATTATTATTATCTGACTTTTTGATTGTTAAATATGACTACTTTTTTATGTTGCTTATGAAAAGTGGAATTTATTGCTGATCAAAGTTTATTCAAAACATTTACACAATATTTTAAACTAATTACAGAGAAAGAAACTTGTATTTTTATACATTTTAACGGGTAAAGCTTGTAGTATATTTAAAGGTATTTTAAATCACTGGATCTACAGAAAATCAAAATGCATCAGTTGACGTTTTGAAGTATGTTTGTTTCTTAACGGAAATGCATACTCGCAAACGCACATGCTCTTCAGTTGATGGGGTTCATAGCCCAAAAGTGCAGTAAATAATTAACAACTAAATGATTTATTCATTTTCACATTTATGAAATCAATCTCTTCTTCACAGTTTTCTTCTTCACAGTACTTTAAATTTCTCAAATACAAACATACTGAAACACGATTACATTCAAGAGATTCTTAAACATGATTTGAGTACACAATTATTGAACATCAGTTAAGGTAAGCAGTGAAAGCTAACATGTTTATTACAGTAGCTCTTGTACTAAGCAGATAGATATGACTAATGCACTGATTTATTTTGTCGAAATTATTTGAGAAAATGTGCTTCATTACAGTCATTCAATGGAAAATAAGTTTTCAACTACTACTTAAAGAAAAAGTTTGTAAGTAAGCAATCTATCTCAAGGATCAGTAGACTATATTTTATTATATTACTTCTTTTAATTTATGTGCAAATATCATCCAAATAAATTATTTTCATTATGTAACAAAATAAGCTGAATAGTAAACGTTACGCAATTCGCATTCGCCTCTAAATCTAATCAGGTTTTAACTATTTAGAATGTCTAAAGATGAAGTTAGACATTAACACCGTTGGATGCCGTCCGGCTCAGTGGTCGAATAGCTAAGCGCTCGCGTGCGAGACTGATAGGTCCTGGGCTCGAATCTCGCGGTGGGGCGGGATCGTGGATGCACACTGCCGAAAAGTCCCATACTAGGGCCAAACGGCCGTCCAGTGCTCCCAGGTTTTCCATGGTGGTCTAGCTCCAACGGACTCATGATTTCAACTATTGAAATTACTAAACTCTTCACAAAACCCATTCTGAAAAAGAAGAATAGTCATTAAATTAATCAGAGGTATTATTAATTGATTACATACGTTAACGCTAATAAGCTGTGACAATATATTGAAGAAAAATATAATTACTATTATTGATTATTCTGAAGTGGGTTATAATGCCAACTAATTAGACTTTTTTCTTTTGTCAACACATAAGTCACTTAGTCGTAATAAACATAGAGCCTGGAGAAAATTTGCAATAACCAAAGTGGCCAAATAACAGCACGACGATATGAACTAAAAACTGAATCTTAAAGGAGTGAAGATAATGTTATCGCAATGTTAATAAGATAAGCTAAACATTAGGATTATGATTCTAGAGGAAGAAATTAAAATTTCTGCATGAAAAAAATAATGGAATTAAAATTTCAGAGAAGAAAAAGAGAGGAAACATTTGAGGCATTGCGACCATTTCCGAGTTACATAATCTAATGTTCTTAACTACTGATAGAGGATACCCTGCTGGTCTGAACTACTTGGTTTAGCTCTAATAACACGGCTCAGACCAACAGTCAGTGATTTCATAGACTGATTTCCCGTTTTTATTTTCCCATTCCTAGGTTCCTTACAATCTGCTCCTATAGTAACCAACATTGCTTACAATTGTGGGCAAGTATTACGTATACCTAATCATCTTAGTTGGCAACGATTCACAACATCATAAACAGGTTCATCATCACTGCTCAGTACCCGATGCCTAACCAAATCATAACTCACTCTATCGTTACTTGATACACTAGGAATATTTCGGAGACACTTTTGATCAAAATTACCATGCTTATCTATATCTAATTTCATAGGCCATTTTTCTAAAATCGGATTGCTGAAGAGTATACTAAGTCTTCTATCGTGAAACTTTTAAGTCTAGTGAGTAGTTCAACACATTCAACAACTTTATTTCTCATGATCAATCTAAGTGATCACATAGAATTCAATTACATTCCTTATTGTTATGTAATGACAACTGTGAGTTGAAAATATGAATAAGACTTAATTAATTGAATCATTTTATGCAATTTTTTTACGAGTTTTAATACTGCTTGATTAAATAGCTTTTTCGAGCGACAAAATACTGATAATCCTCTATTAATCCTGAAAGATACTAATCAAAGAAAGCTGTCCTACATTATGGAATGAATCTAATCTTAATTTATGTAATTTGTTCCAGAAAGAACTTTCAAGAAAAATTGCAGCTATTCAAAGTCGCATAATCCATTTATTTAATCAGAGATATTACTACTAATAATCTGTAAGAAATGAGATTATTTGTAGGTATATATATATATATATATATATATATATATATATATATATATAAACTTATGTGTTATGCAACCATCAGTTTTCAAGAATAGTCAACTTAGAATTTGTCACTCAATTTTCAATAAACAATAAACGACGGTAGACATGTGGCTGAATTTCGTCGACTGGTTGAAGTTAGACACTAACACCGTTGGATTCCGGCTCAGAAGTCTAGAGGTTAAGAGTTTGTGCGCGAGACCGATAGGTCCTGAGTTCGAATCCCTCGTGGCGGGGTCGTGGATGAGCACTGCTGAGGAGTCCCACCGTAGGACGAAATGGCCATCCAGTACTTTCAGGTTTTCCATTGTCGTCTAGCTTTAATCGAATCATGATCTGAACTATTAAATATTATAAAAAATACTTATGACAAAATAGATTTCTGTATATTTGAAAATGTTCTGTTTACATGTAATGATTGTTGTAGAATTCCTTATTTTTAATGTTTATATTTTGAAAGATGTTCGTGTAAACATTGATGAGTTGATTTGAATGTAAGATTGATTACTTGTTTGTTTTTTTTCTTTCAAATAGAACATTATATAATGCACTAATCATGCATTTTATGTTAATTTATCAACAGTGGTTATTTTTAAAAACATTCATTTGTGTTAGTAACCATGATATCATCAGTTTTTGTTGCTGTGATCAAGTTACCTTTATATTTTCTATACATTACTGAAGAGATTTTCTTAAATTCAAACTCTACACACGTTCTACTTAAACATTTTTATAAACATTTTTGTACGATCATTAGTTTATACACAAACAGTAAATATAAAAGTCAAATACGTGATTTTAAGTCTACGTCTTATTTGAATAATCAACAGATTATGAAGTGGGAAGATTCAATTAATTACTCTTAAATAGGATAAACACAAAAATTTTGACATTCAATATTAGACGTTTAACACAAAAATATAACGTTTATCAGCATCAAGATTTCCATACATATAGTTGAAACGCTTACGGAAACTGATCATTTCAGTGGAGTATTTAAACAATTGAAAATTAGTTGAAATCAAAAACTTGTGTAGAGTTCAATTAATAAATACAAGTTCTACGGTATTCAATGAAATCTTATTGACTTATGTACTTACGCCTGTTACTCCGCATGGGGGAGTATAGGCTCCCACAAGCATTCCTCATCAAAATCCGTCATGGGAAATCCTTTACAGTTGGTTTTAGTTGCTACTCATCCTTTTATGCCTGTTTTCTGTTCTCGGCACAGTGTGTTATTTAGTCTTTCACTTTTCCGATTCCTTTCACAATTCCAAGTTAGCGCTTGTGTTGTGATACAATTTGATAATTCTCATAATAAATGTCCTATCCACCTCCAACTTTTTTCGCTAATTTCCTCTTCAGCTGGTAGATGTTTTATTTCCTGTAACATGAAGTTGTTGATGATTGTATCCGGTCAACGGCTTTGGAATATCTTGCGCAAACAATCGTTTATAAATACC